AAAGAGCAGGAACAGAAACCGCATCTAGCCACACACACACTGAGACAGGGAAGACGCCACATCGCTGGGCAGGGAAGCAAAATGGATACAGGACAAATTTTGTGGAAATAGACGGATGCAGGACACAGAGGGGACTCATAAAATGGGAGATTTCTAGGGACAGGAGAACATTGTCTTATGATAAAATTGAAGATGGGATGGTGGACGTGGATGCTAGCTCCTGCAGAGAGGAGCGAAGAAGAGAGAGGGGAAGAGGAAAAAAATGGAAGAGAGAGGGGCAGGGAAAAGGATGCTAACCGACTGCAAGGCAATCTCAGACCCTCCACCCACCCACAGAGCATCTATTAGACGGGATATACAGAACACACACTCTTATAAACACATAAACAATGTGACGGTTCACTTCACACTCACAAGCTGACTTTTACATGGACAAAAAGCAGATCATTGTGTTTGCAGACTTCTGTTTATATTGTGCAATGCATGTGGGTGTTTAAAGTACTCTGCTGTTGTTATTTTGTGGAATGAACGTGCAATGGAAATGTAGGCAGAATCATGGCAAAGGGTTTGTATGTTTAGTATTGTGAGGCTGAGGATTTTTTAGCATTGGACCTGAGGTCTGCTCTATTTAATGCTGCTATAGTTTTGATTTGGAGAAGGCCTTGTATATTAAATTATTTTAGTGACAAAAATCTAATGCTATTTTATTATTAGAATTTTAAGACTCAATTTAAATGTGATTCAACAGTGCTTTAATTCCAAACGGCTTAATCTGAATTGTATCATCTTGTTGCATTGACGATTATGTCGTTAAAATTTTAACTAAAGACTAAAATGCTGTACTTGTTTTACTGCGTAATTTAATCGGGTTCAGTCGAATTTAAACGCTATGCAGTAGCATGTAAAACATTAGAAATCTTTAGCACTATATATTAAACATGCTGTATTATATATATATGGGCGGTTGTTAGACTCCGATTGCTAATAATTCACAATGGTAATAATAGATTGTCATCCTGCTTGTTGGCAGCACGCCCACGTTTCCCAATCGATAAACCGAACCAAATACACGGGCGCGTCCATTTGAATGCGGCTGAACACTTGCGGTGGCTCAGAGGTTAAATCGTAAAATCATAGAAAATATTATCCTTTAACATTGTGGTTACGTTTGTGAATGTGACTAGTGAAACGTTACTGAAATCTGAATATGAGCATGACCTTCATAGTAATTCAGCAGACTCCCCTAATACAGTCTTGTCTTCATATTTGTGAAAATTAGGGTTTGTCTGAAACGCGTTTTTACATAAAACCTTTATATTAAATACCTTTACACACATAGAATAGGCTACCTACCTATATGTAGGCCTGTAGGTATAGGCCTGTGATATATTTGTATGTTTTATGCAATTGTAAATTATTTTGAATAATTCAATCTCCTGATGCGGTGCGGGGGGATGGGGGGGGGTATCAGAAATTATTTTTCAATCAAATACTAAAGCCAGCGCAAACAGCTGTTTTTGAGATGCCCTTAGACATAAGATCATGTGTAATGTAAGATGTAGCTTATTTTACATGAGCTTATTAATGTTATAATTGTATTATTATTATTATTATTATTTTACAGTTACAAATCTAGGATTTACACTTCAACCTAAGTTTAAACTTTAAAGAAACAACGTAAAGAAAGTTAAATGTACCTTGAGTTTCATGAACACACTGAGGTTTATGAATGAATTCCTCTTTTTCTGATGCAGTCCGTTAAAACACCTACCCCAGAATATTAAATATTTAAAAAAAAATGCAAATGTAATTTTAAATATTTATAGGCTATAGAACATTTATAGCTGTATGTAGTTTTAAACTTTTAGAATTGTTATTCCTCAGTTTAAATTTTGTATAATTGTAAAGATACAGTCAGGCGCACAAAGTTTTATTTTCATGTGATTTTCCATGTTTCATGGGCCTGCTCTCCGTGAGGTTCGGGCATGTTAATTGAGTTATTGACTTTTTCATCGATCGACTTCTTTTTATTATTCACCATGCGTCCTATTATTTTTTGGACGAAATTAATTTGTTCTAGCCCTTTTATATTTCGCCTCTGAATGCACGTTTTAGTTTGTAGTACGTATCATTTTTAATTCATTTATTTATGTGCTTTTTGACACTTGTTAACGAAGCCAAAATATGAAGACTGATATAAAACATTAACAATAAAGCAGGAGACAAAAACGCATGAAAACAAATATTGTTGAATATAATGTAAATAATCAGTTTTAATAACCTACTTCAGATGGATGAAATTTGTTCAATCTGAAAGGTAGAAGTGACAATTGTAGGTTAACAGTAGTAAAATATTTTTATTATAATTTAAGCTTGCTGCACAATTTCATAATTGTTTTTTTATTGCATTGGCAGATTTGCGTTAGTTGTTTTTTATTTTGTTATATTGCTTATGGTTTTTAATAAAGTATTTAATTGTAATATTTTGTTAGGCTAAAGCGTTGCAATCAAAAGACAAACAGATAAATATTGATGAACATGAACAGCTAGAATTAGGAAGTAATTTTTTAAAACAATATTATTTTAATAAAAAATTCCATCGTAACTCTTATGAGGCTACAAGTACAAACAGTGATTAGGCTACTATTAATTTTCTATTAGATGTTTGAATAGTATTGAGCTGTACCGTGTTTCAGCAGAAATGTTTTTCGCTTTGTATGTCTCCTCACAAAATAAATGCACATAAATTATATTCTGACACAAAGGTTTCAAGAAACCACACAAACAAGACTGTTTCCAAATGTGATCAATAACATTTATGTCTGAGATTTATCAGAAGGCCGAAAATACCAAGGGAAAACAAATCTGGCTATACTTCGTAATAGATATTACTTTTGAATGGCATTGAATTGTAAAGTTATTCCGTAAATAACACACACATACCCCTTCCCTCCCTCCCTCGGCCCTGCTCGGCGCGGATCGATAGTGCAGCATCTGCTGCGGGAAGACAGCGGTCCCACATCGCACTGGAAAATTTTTCAAGCGCTAGAATTGCTCATCTCTAAAAATTAAACTGACAGACAGATATTATTAATATTCCAAGTTTCAAACAACTACCCGCATCAACTCCCACCTCTCTCTCTCTCTCTCCGACGCATACAAACTCGCGTCGCATAAATGCCTTTTTTTAAATGGAAACATGACAGAAATGTAATTTTGTTGATTATTAGATAGCGCGGTTTAGGAAAGGTCGCGTGTGCTCTTAAGAGGGTCATAGGTGCGCATTGGATAGATCAAGTGCATTGATCTTGTTTAGCACTTCTGTGATTGAGGAGCAAACTCTTTTGTTAATTGTCCACTACACTGTAAGCTGACAGCTGATAAGAACCGCTCTCTGTCACTAAGTTTTGTTGCTTCAGTTAATTGCCCCTAGCTTGGGAAAATAAAACTGTAGTTAATAGTAGGCTACATAATTGCTTTGGCCTTCTAATTGCATTACAGTTTTTTTTCTCGTACATTTAAAAAATTCCAAATTTGTCATTTATTATTAACAAAAATAAACCTAAACACAATTCTTGAAGGGCTGTAGATTGAACTACATACAAAATATTACATAAACATCACATATTATAGCCTATTTAGACTCAAAATATTGCTGCGCGTTTTCAATTTTAGCTAACAGAAATGCAAAATCCCGTTGGCCTAAGGAGGTAACCATAGCAACAGTACGACGAGCACTTTTCGTTAGAATCCTTAATTGGCCGAAAACTAAAAAACAGATGTCTATCATTATTCATTACTTTATTAAAGATTTACATATTACAAGCAGCCTATAGCCTATGACAAAATACTTGTATTTTGTTTACAAAGTCTTGAAGATAGGCTATTTGGATAACTGTGATTAGGGCATCAAAAGACAATTTGGGTCACGCGAGAACCTCAACCGTTTGCGCCGTGAAAATGTTCTTATTGAATTATTTTTTTCAAGTCACCTCTTCTAAAACTGTATAATTCGAACACTGTCACGAGCCCCACCTAAGACAATGGCTTCTTGCGGTCCGCAGGAGGGAAGGAGTTAACGAGGGTTGTAAATTCCCCCCACATCTGTCAGATTTTAAGAGTGTGACGTACAGAGTAGGGGGGCTGGGGGAAGAGAGAGAGAGGAGAGAAAGAGTTGGGGCCGAAATCGATGAGGATACAGAAGGGCAAAACCACAGAGATAATGACAGCGACGGAGTGCGATGCTTCGACATACATCGGCGCTCATTTTTGACACGGTTGCAGTATAGCGAAGTCCGGACATCGGGCAAAATCGTACGGCCTTACGCGTCATTTGTGTTGCATCCTCGACAGTTGTGGTCCAGCGAGAATCTCGCGGATAACGGGAGTGAAGGACCGGACCGAGCCGTTGCTTCTTTTTTTTAACACCGAAATGTGCTGATGACACACAAAAGTCGTTGTTACGTAAAACCGACTGTTGTGTGATGGTAAACTCGGGATTTCTGCAGGTGTATAGAATAACCAATCCCATTATCGGCTTTTGATTGTGTTTTGGAGGGGCTGTTTCGCTTCTCTCCATCCTGTCGGATAAGCTTCGTTGTGAGGTAAGCAATTCTTACTTAATTCTTCTCAACCTGTTTTTAAACCTCGATATGATTGTTAAAGTTAATTTCGAATGTGATGAATTTTATAAACAAAATAAGGTTGCTATTAATAAACAAAAAAAGTTACTTGTAACGGAATTAATCATCATGGTGGTTCAAGTATTATAATATTTGCGACTAATCAATAAAGCTGAATAAGTCATCAATAACAAATCAGTGATCATGGTCCTCCTGTCTCTTTTTCAGCTTTGGTCAACAAGGCAAAAGCAAGACTCACATGGATAAATTCAGAAGCATTTATGGAACATAAGCATGCTTGCATGACCCAAGATGGTGCCACTGTGATGAAATGTCTCTGAGTGTACACTGAAATCAGATTTTGAGATAGGTACAGCATCCCACAGGCCATTTTCGCAGAGCGAGTTCTGTGCAGGTCTCAGGGCACTCTGTCAGACCTGCTTAGGAACCCCAAACCTTGGGGAAAACTCAAGTCTGGCCGCGAAACCTTCAAGAGGATGTCCCGCTGGCTACAGGAGCCAGAGTTTCAGAGGATGGCCTCGTTACGTTTGGAAGGTAAAAAGCTGGTGCTTGTTTAGTTGAATTTGAAATGGATTGTTGTTGTGAAACAGAACAAATCCCCCAAATTAGTAGTAAATCTGGACAAGTATTGTTAAAAACAGTGGCAAGTGGTACATATATGATTAACAACAAAGAAAAATTTCAATTAAAGTTATTCAGTCACAATACATTAAAAGAACCACAGATACAACAGTGTCTTTAACCAACAATTGCTTAACGTAAAGTAAAATATCGGCACTTAAATGTTTTACGGTAATAATGCAAAATGAACATTGTGTGTATTATTGAGAAAGAAGTAATATTTCACTTCAAATCCAGTGAATCTTGCCGTGTTACAATGTTTTGACATTAAAGAGGCTGAAATTGTAACTGGAAGGTAAAAAGCTGGTGCTTGTTTAGTTGAATTTGAAATGGATTGTTGTTGTGAAACAGAACAAATCCCCCAAATTAGTAGTAAATCTGGACAAGTATTGTTAAAAACAGTGGCAAGTGGTACATATATGATTAACAACAAAGAAAATTTTCAATTAAAGTTATTCAGTCACAATACAATAAAAGTACCACAGATACAACAGTGTCTTTAACCAACAATTGCTTAACGTAAAGTAAAATATCGGCACTTAAATGTTTTACGGTAATAATGCAAAATGAACATTGTGTGTATTATTGAGAAAGAAGTAATATTTCACTTCAAATCCAGTGAATCTTGCCGTGTTACAATGTTTTGACATTAAAGAGGCTGAAATTGTAACTGTTGTCCAAAGCACACAAAGAGATCCAGAGAAAAACAGTAACATGAGAATTGGTGCGGAGTACAGGATTTATAGCATGGTAATTCCTACCTTTTACACATGATTACAACATCAGGAAGCATTTTGTTAATTGTTCGCCATTGTATTGGCGAAAGCAAGTGGGCCCTATCGAGAGAATCAGGAGTTTGAATATGATACAGAGGTAAATGCTGAACTGAAACATTAAGCATTTTAAGGACAATAGATTTCTGAATGTTTTCTTTCTTCTGGTTTGTTGTATTTGATATAGATCATTATTGTTCAGCACGTTTACAGTCTTTCTCTTTATCACTTAATCTCCCTTATCCTGAATTTCCACTAGGGGATCAATAAAGTACATGTATCTATCTATCTATCAATCAAGTTGGCAGTTGTCTGATAGAGACTCTCTCTGGTTTTCAGGCAATAGTCTGGTCTACACCCAGTGCAGTATTTAATTAAGCTGTATATTAAATAACATTAATAGCGATATATGATAAATACTGCGCAATGAAAATGCAGAGTATTGACAACATTGGCTCTAACTGATCTGTTGCATCTTTTTCTACTGCACAGGACAGCTCAGTTTCATTTTACATGCAATGTTTTCTATTTCTATTTTCTTTTCTTTTTTTTAGCTTTTGATCATAATTTCCTGATCTGTTGCATATTTTTCTGTAGTAGCAAAGGACTTATTCATCATCTCACAAACTAGTTGCATTTTAGATGCAATGTTTAACATTTTAAAATGGTGAGATCTTTAAAATTTGCAATCTTTCTTTTTTTTTAGCTTTCGACTGTATTTACCTGATCATTTGCATATTTTTTCTACAACAGCAAAGGTCTTCTACAATAGCAAAGTACTTATTCATCATCTCAAACTAGTTGCACTTCAGATGCAATGTTTCAACATTTTAGCTTTCGGCTGTAATTTCCTGATCATTTGCATATTTTTCTACAAAAGCAAAGGACTTAATTATTATCCCTTAGACTACTTGTACTTCAGATTCAATGGTTAGCATTTTAAAATGTTGAGATCTTAAAAATCTGAGAATATTTCAGCCTTTGACCATCATTTCCTTGATGAAACTGTCAACCATTATTTGTGCATCTTTCTCTCTTTTTTTGCTGTTTACAGTTTTAAAATTTTAAAATTATATTATTGTTAATGATGCAAGTCACACGTTAAAAATCTACACTGAATAGACCTTTATCAAACACTATTGATGTTTTCCGCAATTAACTAAGTGTGGAGCCTATTAGACAACAAAGATAAATTGCTAATAATAATGGAAAGACCTATTAAGATTTTCAGGTCTTATTTGTAGACTAATGGTTTTTTTTTTTCAGCTTGTAAGCGTAAGGAGCAGGAGCAATCCAAGCTAGAACGCAACCAGGGGCCCAAGCGCACCCGGCTAGTCTTCACAGACCTGCAGCGTCGCACTCTTATGGCCATTTTCAGAGAGAACCACCGACCGACCAAAGACCTGCAGATCACCATTTCTCAGCAGCTTGGCCTTGAGCTTTCCACAGTAAGCAACTTCTTCATGAACGCTCGCCGCAGAAACCTCAACCGCTGGACCGAAGAGGGCCGCCCATCCTCCACTGGCTCATCGGGGTCCAGCACTGCATCTCCAGCTGTGACCTGCTCCACGGCGTGATGGGAAAATTAGCCGTTTTTCGCTCTGCACAGCACAGGTTTACCTGTAGCTCCTAGAGTTTGAGATTTTTAATCAAGGGTGTTTTTGTATACAATTCAACAGCATATGAAACCAAAGATGAAGTCTGATGTTCGCAATGTCTAGATGAGACAGGATTTGATTGTAGTTTTAGCATTGATTATTTTAGCTTTAATCGCAAAGGATTGGCCCGACACATCAGGGCTTATGAAATCACTCACTAATCAACATATTGAGGGTTATGAAAAGCTACTGAATAGATATTGAATCTATTCATTTTGTTATTCATTACAGTGTCTAAAATCAGTGCAAATGTTTCTATTTTTTCTTTGTTGATCATGACCGTCAAAATGATATTTTTAGAGTTCTCGAAAGAGAGAGAGATGATTTTGCAACAAATGGAAAAGGAATGACCAAAGAAACAAACAAGGATGCAAATGAATCTTTCAGAGATTCTTTTAAAGGGGAAAAACTACTGGATAAAGAAGCTGAAACCAAAATATGAAAATTTTTTAGGAGCTTGTTTTCTTTTTATACACCTTCGTGACAAAAAGCTAGGCCTCATAGTCCAAAAAAGGCATCTGCTGTGTGACAACTAAAGTCTCAGCACAGGACTGGAGTTGTATCCTCTCAGACAATATGAGGAGGAACTCAGCTATGACTCTTTTTGCAACAGACTTTTAACTTGTTGGTGAGTTTCTGCTGACAGAATGGCTGTGAAGAGGAATCCAGGATGCTCTTGCATACTTTCCATCTGATTTCAAATGATTCCTTAGATGTCACACTGAGGATGGAGAAATCCATTCATTTTTTGTAAAAATTTCAAGCACACAATCTGGCCGATGGCTGTTCGTACCGGAAAAAGCTCAAAATCTCGAAGAACCTGATGAAAAATACTCACAAAAAGCTTGAATTGAACAGGAACTGAGAACCACTTTATGTATTTATAATTATTTATGTATTTATTTCCAATCTTCTAGCTATTTATTTTATTTATTTGCTAGTTACCATCAGTATTTATTTCACAGAGTGTTGTTTGTGTGTAAAAAATGGCCCCTATCTCTGATAGGAGTCCCAATACCAAAGATGAATATTTGTCCTCCCTGAATGTCCAACGTTTCTCATCTCCTGAACGCTGTGTTAGTATTTCGATATCCAAGCTAGCGTACCCATCCATGTTCATCGTTCAAATGTGCTGCATGTCTAGACCCTTTAGGCTGCAGCCTGACCGAACAAATAGCGTCTCAGCGTGATCGTAAAACAGCACACAAGTAGCTGTGAAGTCGAGATGATTCTATATTTAGGCTGTTGAACTGTGATCTCCTCACTGCAGTCCACATTTACTGTACGATGATTGTACGTGCTGTGCCGTGGTCTCTCGGGTTGGGCCGTCTAGGGAGAGATCGTCCCTTTTTCAATGCTCTTTCACGTTCCCCCGTGTTTAACCTTTGCAGGGCATGTAGTGAGGCCCCTTCACAGCACACTCTTGAAAGAGGGCCCATGAAAGAGGCCATCGACTTTTGCCGACTTCAAAGAGGCCCTTTTTATCTGTGTCCTCTCAGCGGCGGGGGCCGGAGCTCTGCACTCGGTAGGGCCCATGGGCTTAGGGCGTTCACGGGGAGGGGTGGCAGATCAGAGGCTAGCAGCATTACCGAATCACGGTGAGGAAGGGGAGGGGAGGGGTGGTGAATGGGAGTTTGGGGATGTGAATTAAAGTTTAATGAGCGACAATTGTAAGCGTGCTGCGCGAGGGGCAAAGGGTGTCGGCGTGTGTGCGTCTCAACTCTCCAGGTCACCCTGTTGCAGCACTGGTGGTTAGCCGGGCCTCTCTTTTTGTAGAGATGTAATGATTTAGGTTATAATAATTTGCAAACTTACGCGGTAGATGGTTAGAGATCACTCGACGACCTGTAGCGTCCCGAAGATCAACTTTAGCAGATCATGGCAGACGCGTCTAACGTAATTTAGTATTTGGCGCCTCCCAGTGGACATTTTATTCACACGCTTACTGAGAGGAACATAAATCACGCCATATTCTCGTAGTGTTTAACATCTTCAGATACATTTGAAAGAGTTGCTACAATGTGTAAATCGTAGGTGATATTTCCATTTCGCCGTCCCGCTGAGGGGAACCCGTTTGGCCATTTTTGTTCTAGCCTTCCCGACAGCTCTAATTTCATCTACCTCAACTGTGTGTGATGTGTCGTGTAGCTGAGATGTAACTGTACCAAAGATCCCATCCATTCAGGGAGCGTCTGTGCGTTACTATAGCCAAATGTGCTGGAATCAATCCGTGAACACAACTAAATCACAGCCCTACCTGCAGGCAGAGAGAACCTTGTTTGAGTGTGTGTGTGTGTGTGTGTGTGTGTGTGTGTGTGAGAGAGAGAGAGAGAGCGATTGAAGAACATTTATCAGTATAAAGACCAAATGGGAATGACAATCGGAGCAAGAGAGAGGGTCTTGCTGATCTTATGATTGCTTATCCCTCCAAAAATAAAAAAAGCCAAATAAGTGGTACCATGTAAAAGTGAGGATAGAGACCAAAATAAATGTTAAATATGTTTGTCTCTACAAATATCATGCAATTATGTTTTAGCTGTGTCATATGAATCACCCGAATAAAAATATGATTTTAGCAAACTTGATCGTTGGATCATAGGCTGACAGAATTCATTCTCTCAAGGCATTTTTTGGCATCTGGAGTTCCACTTATTAACGGTTCAGATAAACAGACTGAAAAGGTAGCAAGTGTTTTCTTTTTTTCTTTTACCTATCACTCATTTAAAATCTCTTTCTGCTGGTGTGAACATCTGTGTCATTTTATGCCATTCTCTCCCTTGTGTTACCTTATGAATGTGGCTAATCAACCAAAGGTGTAAAAATCACAGCAATCTAAATGTCAATCATAACTGGACATTGTGTGCTGATCTTGAAAAATCCTTTAATACCTCATGTGAAACTGTTCGTTGTGATGTTGCACTGAATAAAACCAAGTCATTTGTAAACACACTGAATAGAGTGAAAGCATTTTTTCTTTTAAAGCTTTACAAGAGAGAAAAATCATATGTATATTGTAAGACATTCTTAAAATACATTTGGATTTTTAAAAAGACAATGGAAATTGAAAAAAAAAACAGTATATAGAACACTCATTTACAGCTAAGAAGTTAAATAAAACATTTCTTATCTATATTCATAGATTTCAATGTGGGTTTCAGTTACATAACCGGATAGGAGGCGTATGAGGCGATGCCACACATGTTGTTCTGGTTTCTGGCCATACGGATGTAGCCACCATCTCCAAATCCAGTACCCCAACTGTTCAAGCAAAAGATAACAATTAGCATATGTATTTACTCATCTCAATGTTTTGTTTGAAATAGAAGTTATCTTGTTACACTAAGACTACCAAGACTACACTGGGTATATTTCAAAACACAAAATCAGACCCAGTAAGTTCATAACAATCATTATGATTGTACCTGTTTTTGACCAGCCAAAAGTCCTGTCCCGCAATCGCACCGTATCCCACAACCACCACTGCATGGTTTATGATTTTGCTGCAAGATGGATCATTGTAAACTCCTGTGGACAGATGTGAGATAACATTACGTTGGTAACAATAGCTACCAACAAAAAATAAAAATAATTTTGACCTTCAGTTTGCAACCTGAAAACTTGGTAATCGGCCTGACTGAAATGTGATGAGAAAGAAATACTCACCACTACGGTACATGATAAACTGTGGGCGGGTGGCATCAATGGCCACTGAAATGGGCCCGATGTTGGCAACAGCCTGCTTCAGGGCCTCCTCATCACCCTGACTGACAGAATAGTACCTGGTGCAGTTTGCTGCACGCTGGGATGGATTGTATCTGCACTGCCCTTGCTGCAGGACACATTTATTTATTTGATTATATTCATAATAATGGGTTGCAGCTTTTTTTAAATGAGCCAAGCACTGACAAATCCAGCTGTCTGTATAAATATCGCTAAAATCTTGCAGTGACAGTTCCTGACACTTCTAATATGAAATGTTTCTACCATGTTTCGGTAATTATCACTTGTTTCTAATTCACTTAGACCCACACAAACAACTCACCACTCCTTCATAAGGGTAAGATGACTCTGAGTCTATTCCACCATTTTTAATAACATACTGGAAGGCATCATTCATCCAACCGCCACTGCAGCCATGGGTGCCGTAACTGGAGGAACAGTCCACCAGATTCTGAGGACTGAGTTCGACCAGCTTTCCTGTGGTATTCATCAGCTGACCTTCAAGAGCCCCAACAGCGCTGAACGCCCAACACGAACCACATGCACCCTGACAGCAGAGAGAGAAGTACGATAAAACTACTAAAATGAGAAAACACAAGAACTGTGGAATATTTACGCTTTTTGACTTCAAGCTACATATAATAGCAATACAATGTGAACCTGAAATTCTTAAAAATGCTTTTGTCTCAGGTCTATCAAAAGAAACAAAAAGAGCTGTACCGAGAAATAAAAAACTACTCAGACAAAAAGCTAAATTAGAAAATAATTTTGTGTATGAGAAAACAAATGGTATAATCACACCTGCATCTTCACACTGGAGACATATCCCTTCTCTCTCCAGTCTAGAGAGTCTGGAACAGCAGCTCTAGAAAAGCCCACAAATTCTGCTGTTTGCCTCTTAAAGCCAGGGGGAACACGAGTAGTGGCTAACGTTTGCAGGATCTCCTCTGTTGTCTGTGAATCAACAAAACAAAGAGGAAAATATTGAATGTCAGATGATGAAATTGTCACTGCACCTGATATAGCCGATGTCTGTCAAAGTGTAAAACTTTATGGCTGTGCAATTTCTAGACACTACATTAACTTAAACATCTAGAACCTTTTGTAAAGAGAATATATTGGCTGAAAAAATTTTCCCTCACACAGAATAGCTTCATGCTAAAAAATCGAAACAAGGAAATAGAGCAGTATTGCGTGCCAGGAGTTTTTTTTTTTTTTTTAAAGCAAACTGAATGCAAGTGCATGAAAACAAAAACCTCAGACAAAGAAATGCAGTGGTTCTTACCATGTCACCCATGTGGTTCATGCCCAGGTCATATGAATGCAGGCCCATGGAGGCCTCCAGGTTGTGAAGGGTGATAAGTTCAAGGTTTCTCTCCCACAACTCCCTCCTGCCCAGTTCTTCAACCTGCCAATATAAACAACAGAAATTCCACAGTTTAATACAGCAATATATAAAACTATTGATATCACTGGTCATAATATTTAAGTCTCAAATGAATACATTATTATTTCTATAACAAACAAGCCCATGAATCAAGCATTACCAGTTTGATAAGAAACAAGGAAGAAATTGAGTTTGTATTCCTCACAGAACATGTGATTTAAAAAATATATTCTAGATGTAGGTACAAGATCATCTTTTGGATCATCTGACAGATTAATGAAATTCATAGTCTTTTACCAGTTTGATAAGAAACAAGGAAGAAATTGAGTTTGTATTCCTCACAGAACATGTGATTTAAAAAAATATATTCTAGATGTAGGTACAAGATCATCTTTTGGATCATCTGACAGATTAATGAAATTCATAGTCTCACTTTACTGTAGTAAAACTTGTTATGCGTCTTCTTCCACAACTCCCAGTGCTGGTCTAGATTTGTGTTGAAATGGGCCAGTGCTGCACTACAACACACGGCAAACAGCAAGCTTCCGAGCATCATGGCCTGACAAGAGCAAAACGGCAAGTGATAATTACTGCCATGCATTCAAACATCAATATTTTATGTGATAATATATTCTCATTGCATTAGGTTGACAGCTGGCCGACATGTAAGCCACAATATTAAGAGATTATTTCAGTGAATGACTTCTGAAACGATATATAGTATATGTCCATTTATATGTTCACATCAATGGAACGAAACCAGGGAAGTTGCTAGGGTTGGTTAGTATTTGGGGCTTTGATTTAATAGCGATTTACTGAAAACGGGCTCTCAGTCCCACCTGCTGGCCGGAACATGTACTTTAAAACTGCAGTGAGCTGAACAAACGCCATTCACACAGAACGCATTTGTGCTTTAAATATGCAAACAAAATGGAAGAACACAGACTGTCGAGACACATTTTTAAACTTGAAACAGCATTTTAAAAACGTGGCGTGAGAGGCTGAAAAAGCAGTGAGGCGAGGCGAGGCGCAAGGGTCAAAGACGTCTGTTGCCGTATGAAGTTTACATAGAAAAACAACCCTTTCTCTTTTTCACCACTAGTACAGAAGATAGTGCAATAATTTAATTAAAAATCTATATTATCTGACGTTATCTTAAAAAGATCAGGGGCTTTGGACAATACACACTATCATTACAAATCACTGAGGAAAGCTATTATAAACCCAGTCAATGGCATAATTCAAACAGAAAGAGAAAGTGTTTTGACAGAGAACACCAACAAAAATAACTTTTATTAAATAGATACAAGTGAGGAAAAAATGAATTGATGTATCTCGTCTCACCTGTGTAGTCCTGTAAAGCTGCACTTCTGGACTCTGGAAAGGAGGTGATGATAAACGAGTTCCTGGTTGCTTTGCTTTTACTTTGTTCCATCACGTGCTAATGTCTGCCTATTGTCATATGACACCGTTGTCTTCTTTCTTTGTTAGGTTACATGAGTGAAAAAAATTGATGAAATAAAATTAACAAATTATTGCTGGATCAAGGTTAATTCACTATACTATACCACCCATAAAACATACACACATAGATTTTTGGCATCATCCACTGTAATGTAATAGTTCAGATAAGCAGACTTAAAGGTACCAAGTGTTTTTTAAAACTCTTCTAAATCTCTTTCTGTTTGAGTGAACATCTGAAATGCCACTTGTTCAAAAAGTTGCCCCGTGTATCATCATTAACTTTTATCATCAAGGCATCTTGTGTATGTTTTATGGGTGGTATAGTGAATTAACCTTACATTTTTGAGCAATATGTTGCTTAGGCACTTTCCCACTGAGAATGGGTAACAAATTTCTGTCTGGATATTTTATCAGTCGTGGGCCCTGTGGCTCACTTGGTTGCCTGTTGATGGCAACATTGCCCAAAGTTGCCCAGCAACATTGCTCAAAATGTTTCCCCCTGTATCATCAGCCTAACTCCTGCAGAAAACGTACTGCATGTCAATGACCAAAAGCCCATTAACTAGCTTGTGCATGGAAGGATACAAACTCATCAGGGGTGAAAAAGTGGCAAAGGTATGAATCCTCTCCCCCATTTTCAATACCATAGGGGGGAAAAAGTGAAAAATGGGGGGAAAAAGAAGAAAAGTTGGTTGTAACATCCCCTTTAACTCTTGGTAGCTGGCCCCAGAC